ATGCCAAAATGGGGCATTTTCAATGCCTCACTGCTCCTTAATGAGCATGGGCACCCCCCTTTTTTATTTCAAAATTGAAGTTATCGTATGACAAATATTTAGTGGACAAAGTTTGAACAAAAATCTATTGTCACTTTTATTTCAGAGGAATTACCTTAATAGGAAACCCAATTGAGTGCATGGATGGCAAGTGTCCTTTGAAAATGTCTGCACTGTGTTGAAATTAGGTTGGTGCTCAATGTTAATGTTGTGCAGCACAAGTCGATGAAATTTGAATGTAATGATTTGCAGCCAATAAAAATTGTCTGTTCCAAAACATAATTGGTGAGAGCACAAATAAACTCAGATTCCAGTGGTTTAAAATTGAGCGCTGACTGGTTGAAAACACTCAGGTGAGCCTGGTTGAAGGCATTAAACTGCAACTCCTACTTCTTCTGGTTTGTTACATGTAACTTCCCGTTGATGTTTATCCATGTAGCCATCTGTCTTCAGGAATCATTCTTGCACACTTATCTAAGACTAAGTAACAATTGCTTTTATTAGTTGACACCCATTATCTGCTCAGATGCTGGTCTCATCAATTAAAGTTTCTTTTTAATTTGACCCTGATTTTATCAACAAAGTGGCCTACATATGACGAGATATCAGAAACTCAGTAGTTGACCCCCAACAACTCTCAACCTCCCCCCCCACCCTGCCTCCCCCCTCTCCCCAACAGTAACTCAAGTCTAATGTGCTAACTGAAACTAGACTTTTCAGAAGTCAACTGTATATTAATTATATTACATGTATTATAGACAGTGTACATATTCTTGGTAAGCCTAAATGTACTGTACACTGGTGTTCATTAAGTAGTTAACACGATTGTCTTCATGATAGTCTGCTGTCGAGAGTTTAATTTTGTACTTTGAAAAATTGAATACATGTATACAATGTATATTCATGAACAAGGTAATAAGGTTAGTGTGACAAGCAACTGAATTTTTTTCAGTGTGTAATATTTGAATTTAATAATTTTGTTTCTGAATTTAAGAGCTCCTCATTGGGAGGAAATAATGAAGATGTACTGCAGGCATTGCCTTTTAAAGATTTTGGCAACAACACTTTTTCTGTTTCAGGGAAACAAAAGGTGCGGTTCCCAGAATTCGTAAGGATGATGGCAGAACAAGAAGGCAAGAACATCAATACAGAGCATGAAATTCTTGCTGCTTTTTTGGCTTTGGATAGGAAGAGAACTGGTTCTGTGACGAGGAAGCAACTGCAGCGTCTGATGACAGAGACCGGTGATAAGCTTACCTCTGGAGAATGTAAATAACTCTTTTAGCAAATTTGAATTGGAGGCCTTCGTGCAAAAAGAGCGTATATAGCATTTTGGGCCGATTTTTAGTTTTTACAGGATCCAGCTAATTTTTGGCAGACTGACTTGTTTTGACATGAAAAGCATGGTGGCATAATTGTTTTTGTTGATTTGCACTTTGTTTTCAAGAAATAACGTATGCAAAAAAACTCAGTTTTCCAAGGGTATCTTTTGGAGATCTTTTGTTGAGTGAAAAACAAAAGAAACCTTTTGTTTTGCTAAACGATGAAGTCACCGAAGCATGGTATATGCCCCTAGTTTTATTATTCATATAATTACGCAATTCTCTTACGGTTGCATCGTTAGTGCAAGCGAATACCCTTGTGAGATAACTTTAAGAATTCCTAGGAATTCCTAGGAATGATAAATTTTAGTTGGACATAAGAGACCTTCAGAAGCAACAAAGCGACGATTACAAAAACAACAACAAAATTAGTAGTTATTACAACGGTAATTTTTATAGCAGTAGTATAAATATAATCCCAATAGGAGATATTTCCAAGTATTCCAAAAACAAACTCCAACTATTATTTTACTAAATTAACAAGCTTTGATTTATTGAACTTTAAGGAACTGAAATAGAATATAAGCTGGGGTAATGACCTGGCACAATTCGCATCTTTTTTCTCTTTATTGAGAGACCGGAAATAATTTTGGCCTCATCCCAGTCCGCTCCTCTGGTTTATAGGAAAGTTTTTGCTCATTTAGGGTTCTGTTTGCAAAATATTTCGGACGAGTGGTCTCCAATGTGGCTGAAAATTTTATTATATAAAAAAAAGCTTCATTTGTGTTGTTTCCTCCATGGTTTTTCCAAGCTGACCAGACAGGTTATAAGAAAGTAAAACGTACAGCATTTTAAATTGTAGTGTACGCATGTCACTGCTGATGGTAAGGGTTGCCTCAATATGTCCGGCATCGCAATTTTCTTTTATTTCTTCTTCCGTTAACCATCGGACTTTTTCAGTCCAAGAATTATTAAAATCTTATCTATCATTCCATATCGATACATTTTCATTTTCTACAAAGAAAAGCTTATCTGAGGGGTTATCTTAATGTGCCCTCAAATTTTCAGAGGTACCATGTATATTTGAAATTTGCCAGCTAGTGGTAGCCGAGAGTGGCCATCGATATCAAAAGTGACATTCAAAATCGAAAGTCCATTTCAAAAGTTGAAATTCCAAAGGCAAAATCAGTTGTAAGGCCCAAGCGAATGGACATAATCAAATTTTTCAAGTCGCAAACATTTTTATATATCAAGTTGCATCGTGCACAATATTTGGCAAAAAAAACTATTGACCCTGAGAAGCCGTTCTTTTGAAATCTTCTAGACAGCGTTCAGGAGAGAACTGAAAGCACTTTGCAATCTAAGACGTTTATGAAACCAACGTTTTTCACTTTTTTTATCTTCCCAAAACCCTTACTCTATTTAGCCGGAAATCTTTGATTTTCCCTACCCTATTAATGACCTGACCAAAAATTTGATACCCTATTTTTAAGACCAGGGGCCTGTTTCTCGAACGCCCCGGAAGCTTTTCAGGGCTGTAAAACCATTTTTAGTTAATCTGTATCTAAAAACAGAAAAGTAACTCCTTATGAACTTCTGGTCATATCACGAATATGTAAATAAAACAGCTATGTAATAATAAGGTTTGAGATTTTGCCACAGCTCTCCGGGCACGAAAACATTTCGGGACCTTCGAGAAACGGGCTCCAGACCCTTTAATACCTCGTATCAGACCTGTCTTTTAATTAATTACCTAGTTCAGAACGATGTTAAAGACGTTGTGAAGGGCTGTAGCTGATGGTCTTATCGATAATGATGAAAAAAGCTAGCTTTTTCTAAAATATACATACCCAATTCAAGACTAGAGTGTAGAAACCATACCCTACTTGAGATCGGGAGGCGCGGAGGCCTAATGGTTGGTGTGCTCGCATCTAGATCGAGCGGTCCGGGTTCGAACCCTGGCCGGGGATGTATTGCGTCTTGTTCTTAGACAAGACTCTTCACTCTCACAGTACCTCTCTCCACCCAGGTGTATAGATGGGTACGGACGAATTTAATGTTGGGGGTAACCCTGGGATGGACTAGCATCCCGTCCAGGGGGAGTAGAAATACTCTTAGTCGCTTCATGCTACAGAAACCGGGATAAGCTCCGGCCTGATTGGGCCACTTGGCTCGTATACAGGCTTTACCTTTACCTTACTTGAGACCAACATGACTAGAAAAGGAGTACGTGCTCGCAAAGGCAGAAGAAAGCGCGTTCAAAGAAATTCTAGATGAAGAGTATAAATAAAACAAGCAAACAAAACAGGAAATCAAAACCGAAGATAAGGAAATAAGCCCCCAAAGACCAACCGCGGTCACAGCAAGAATTGAAAAAGAGGAAATGAACCCAAACAGCCCTCCTTTTGTTCCTATCACGATTCGGCAATCTTTTAAATGGGGAATCTTTTTTAAGCGGCAATCTTTAAAAGCGGGTGATTTCTTGTCAACCACTGTTTCGACTTTCCGTCCTTGTTCCTGGTTTTTGTGATAACTGAAAAACCGCTCCAAACGACCCTTCCCCCATCACATCTTGTTCGCCGAGATCATTCTATTTAAACTGTGGAAGACCTTCAAAGCGACCGATTCTTTCTTCTTTAAAGTGAATGCAATGGGCACTTTG